TGTATGTGTGTTTGATTGGCTCTGTGGGGGATATTTAAATGTTCGGAAAGTAACAGTTTGATCTGTTGAGTCTTGGGAAAATGGTATATATTTCAAAGTTTAGGTGACAAGGATGAGAAGAGGAAGGGACATGGGGAGAAGAAAGGGGCCTTTCTTAATTTTGATCTTTCAACTGTTTAGTAGAGAGCTCCCTAATTTGGTATTCATGTATATGGCAATCTCACAAAAGTAAACCAAATTAGGAGGCCGTCTACTAAACTGCTGAAAGATAAGAATTAAGAAATGGGCTCCTTTTGTGTTTATTGTTATTACCCCTATGGCCTACTATTTCATAAAGTCACAGGGATAACAAAAATAAATGAATGATCTTGGAATGCTTGTATGATTTTAGAGATTTAGTTTTTACTTATATATCAGCAATTTCTCATAAACAAGATGTTTAGGAAGCTCAGCTGCATGCCGTTTCCAAGTTCCAAGGACTTGTAAGCTCTGCAAGACTGTAAAACCCATCTACCTGGGAATAATATAAAGGAAAACAAAAATCTGAGCATTCACTGGTGCAGAAATGTTTTTATTGCTCCCTCGTCGATAAACCAAGCTAATACTTAGGTTAGCAGAGAACAAGAGCAGAACAAAGCCATGTAATGGAAGAAAGGGGGTGTGCACTCTGGATTTTAATGCATTCCTATGGCCCTCAATGAAAGTCTTCCAGATGCTATTGCAAAAAGTAAAACCTAGGAATTTTCGAACTGCCTGCAGAAGTCTGTTTTCTGTTTAAAACAGAAGCTGAGAATGAAACTGAATTCTATCAGTTTCACTAAAATATGAATTTCCTATTTGCAAAAGCTGGACATATTCAGCTTTAGCCTAAATACAAGTTGTTGCTTGGAGTCCCCACTACTTTCCTCATGGACTCCTATGCTTGTATATTGTTATCTAAAAAACAATGAAATTAAACCAATTTCACTATTGTTATATACCGGGTGTATAATAAGCAGGAGTCTCAAAGTAGGAATGTTTACATGCATTCTACAGCTCGGAATATCTCATCTTCACAGGTAATTTGAAACTAAAATGGCCCCTGACCTCCTAACTGACCATTACTTATAACCTACTGACTCCTCCATCCACCCTGGTTCTAGGTGAATTCCATGACAACTGACAACGTAGCTCTACTCAGTCCCCTGTCAAGGCTCACTCACTCAGTAAAGACCAGCTAACTCATGGGTAAACACAGCTCCTGGTTTCCTCCGTACTACAGGGAGTGCAGAATTATTAGGCAAGTTGTATTTTTGAGGATTAATTTTATTATTGAACAACAACCATGTTCTCAATGATCCCAAAAAACTCATTAATATCAAAGCTGAATATTTTTGGAAGTAGTTTTTAGTTTGTTTTTAGTTATAGCTATGTTAGGGGGATATCTGTGTGTGCAGGTGACTATTACTGTGCATAATTATTAGGCAACTTAACAAAAAACAAATATATACCCATTTCAATTATTTATTATTACCAGTGAAACCAATATAACATCTCAACATTCACAAATATACATTTCTGACATTCAAAAACAAAACAAAAACAAATCAGTGACCAATATAGCCACCTTTCTTTGCAAGGACACTCAAAAGCCTGCCATCCATGGATTCTGTCAGTGTTTTGATCTGTTCACCATCAACATTGCGTGCAGCAGCAACCACAGCCTCCCAGACACTGTTCAGAGAGGTGTACTGTTTTCCCTCCTTGTAAATCTCACATTTGATGATGGACCACAGGTTCTCAATGGGGTTCAGATCAGGTGAACAAGGAGGCCATGTCATTAGATTTTCTTCTTTTATACCCTTTCTTGCCAGCCACGCTGTGGAGTACTTGGACGCGTGTGATGGAGCATTGTCCTGCATGAAAATCATGTTTTTCTTGAAGGATGCAGACTTCTTCCTGTACCACTGCTTGAAGAAGGTGTCTTCCAGGAACTGGCAGTAGGACTGGGAGTTGAGCTTGACTCCATCCTCAACCCGAAAAGGCCCCACAAGCTCATCTTTGATGATACCAGCCCAAACCAGTACTCCACCTCCACCTTGCTGGCGTCTGAGTCGGACTGGAGCTATCTGCCCTTTACCAATCCAGCCACGGGCCCATCCATCTGGCCCATCAAGACTCACTCTCATTTCATCAGTCCATAAAACCTTAGAAAAATCAGTCTTGAGATATTTCTTGGCCCAGTCTTGACGTTTCAGCTTGTGTGTCTTGTTCAGTGGTGGTCGTCTTTCAGCCTTTCTTACCTTGGCCATGTCTCTGAGTATTGCACACCTTGTGCTTTTGGGCACTCCAGTGATGTTGCAGCTCTGAAATATGGCCAAACTGGTGGCAAGTGGCATCGTGGCAGCTGCACGCTTGACTTTTCTCAGTTCATGGGCAGTTATTTTGCGCCTTGGTTTTTCCACACGCTTCTTGCGACCCTGTTGACTATTTTGAATGAAACGCTTGATTGTTCGATGATCACGCTTCAGAAGCTTTGCAATTTTAAGAGTGCTGCATCCCTCTGCAAGATATCTCACTATTTTTTACTTTTCTGAGCCTGTCAAGTCCTTCTTTTGACCCATTTTGCCAAAGGAAAGGAAGTTGCCTAATAATTATGCACACCTGATATAGGGTGTTGATGTCATTAGACCACACCCCTTCTCATTACAGAGATGCACATCACCTAATATGCTTAATTGGTAGTAGGCTTTCGAGCCTATACAGCTTGGAGTAAGACAACATGCATAAAGAGGATGATGTGGTCAAAACACTCATTTGCCTAATAATTCTGCACTCCCTGTAAAGCCTAAACTACTACTGTTCCTTCAACACTTATAGGACAGTGTATCATGATTATCATGAATCTACAATTTAAGAGATTCAGGTAGGGACTACACTACCTGCATTATGAAATCATTATATTATAATATAACATAATATTATTATATTATCAGCTAATTTGACAATAAATTTGAAATTCACTTCAAATTCTCACTTTTTTAAATAACCCAGTAAATAAAACTCATTGATATTTTTAAATTGATGTATATTGACTTTTTTTTTTTCACTTTTGTATCTGGCTGAGCCGCCATGTTGGGTAAAACTGCTGTTATCTGACCAACTGCTACTCAATGTATGTAACATGTATGCTGCTACAGGTTCACACAGAGCAATCGCACTAGCAGGAGAGTTAGGTTGGGCAGAAGTTGGTCAGATAGCAGTTGTCTTACCGAACATGGCTGCTCAGCCACATAAAAAAAAATTAAAAAATCAATATACATTATTTTAAAATTAGGTTTCATTAAATGTAATAAACGTTTAAAAAATAAACAAAAAAAATAAGAAGTATAACATTGATGACAGTTGCCCTTTCAAAATCGGTCTATTTCAGTTGCTAAATTATTTTACCCACAATCGATGAGTTAAAGGACCACTATAGTGCCAGGAAAACATACTCGTTTTCCTGGTACTATAGTGCCCTGAGGGTGCCCCCACCCTCAGGGTCCCCCTCCCGCCCGGCTCTGGAAAGGGGAAAGGGGTTAAAACTTACCTTTTTCCAGCGCTGGGCGGGAGCTCTCCTCCTCTCTCCTCCTCCTGGGCTGAATGCGCGCGAAGCTGCGCGCGATTCAGCCGTCGCCCAGGAAAGCATTTACAATGCTTTATGACGCTTGCGTGCTCTCACTGTGAAAATCACAGTGAGAAGCACGCAAGCGCCTCTAGTGGCTGTCAATGAGACAGCCACTAGAGGATTAGGGGGAAGGCTTAACCCATTCATAAACATAGCAGTTTCTCTGAAACTGCTATGTTTATAAAAAAATGGGTTAACCCTAGAAGGACCTGGCACCCAGACCACTTCATTAAGCTGAAGTGGTCTGGGTGCCTAGAGTGGTCCTTTAAAATAAGCCCACAGGACTGCAATCTACAGACATAACGGCCATTGTACAAAATGGTGGCGCCCTGGTATTGCAATACGTTGCACGGAAGAAAAGATAATAAATATAAAAGCAAGGGGCAATAGGGGGAGTAGAATAATTATGATACAAATGTCAAAAGGAAATTAAAGGTAAGAAAATTTCAAATGGCAGTGCCTCTTTAAGCAGTGATTATTCATTTAGTATAAAAATCAGACTTTTTCACACTCCGGTATCTGCATGATAACAATATATACATATAATTAGTAAATAAAAGTTCTCTTGGTCATCCTTTCTTCATTAATGTATAATATTTTAAAAACACCCACATGGATTTTAATATTAGAAGATGAATTATACTATATTCAAGATTAATAGATTTATCTAAAACACAGCGTGACGCATTTGATTTATATACAGTGAAGGTATGTCATAAGAGCTTATTCATATAAGAATACCATCAATCGCCCAGCATCTCTGTCTAAGCTTCAATCAATATGGAAGGAAGAACAATCTAATTGACAAACAGCTGTGCTAAAGGATGCTGTGCATGGGAAAACGCTGGAACAAAGTAAAGGTTCTATATTAATATTATTAATTGCATTAAAATGCAATCCAATATAAAATGACATTCAGTATTAGCAGTTCACATTTGAAATGGTGCATATTTTTTCATACTCCTGATTTGTGAAAGTCATAAACTTGTTTTTTAATTTTTTTTTTATTATTAGCACTTTTTTCCCATTGTAATTTTTTTTTATACATTTCCTTCTCTTGAAAACGCTATTTTGACTTTGCAAAGTAACAATGTACACCTGCTATTTATGGATTTGTGCTTGACTGCTGACCCACTATAACCCTTAAACCCTGTTGTCCAATAATCACACAAAATATGAGTAAGTTGGGTAAGGGCAACAGCCACAGCTTTATTTAACAACATAACCATGCCAGCAAACTTCCTCTGTCAGCTGTTGGGGTGTTTCTCCAACAGGCAGCTCTAATCCAGGGCAGCCTGCCTACTGCCAGGGCAGTCTGCCTACCGCCATCAGCTCTTGGCAGGCTTCGACTCCTCAAGCCGCCTTGGCGTTTCCATCTCATGTATCAGCATTGGCCAGTAAGATCTGAAAGCTGTGACAAAACAAGAACGCAAGAGACACACCACCACCAGAAATAATATCACACCAATCGACTCTTGGGTGGGAGGGGAGAGAAAATCTGGATCCCTCAACTTGTCTTTGCTGACTTGTAAGTCCCCAACAGCTCAGTGAAAGCTAGAAAGTCTTGGCCAAGAGGTTCCGTCAGCTCTCCAGCTCTCCTAAGTCCTGCAGTGCCGCGCTAGTGCACTGGCTTAGAACATCAGCTGATCATTCTCTTCAGTCTCTCACTAAGCTGTAATAAAATTAGGGAATATCACCTAATGAAGCCCAGGTAAGAAGTCAAGCCATTCTAAAACAGTTTGACTACTTACAACAGGGTCCGCCACGGCACTTATGACATTTTTTTTCCTGTGTAAAGATGAAGCTTCCAGTGCAGAGATGCTGAATATTTACGCAAACTTAACATTTGTTTCTTTTTCTTCAAACTATTTTTCAACATAAAACCAATTATATTTAACTTATTACTTTATCATAGGGACCTACGGAGCTCTAGCTCCATTCCCTTGCCTAAATGAGTCATAAGCAGAGCTCAAAGTGAGCAGTGCATACAGCCCTTTAAATCACTTTGGCTGTTGCTTCTGATGAGATTTCAAGGTTCTCTGTGACAGAGAGACATCCTGTTAGGGTCCCCCTACCTGCTCCCCTGCTGGCAGTGATCTGCTCTGTGCTCTGTCTGCACCCAGCACCAAACCACTATGTGATCTGCACGGAAAGTATGCAGACGCTGCAGCATGAGAGGGAAATTTCCCCCTCATGCAACAATTACAGAGTACAGAGCTTTGATATCAGTAGAAGGAATCCCTCTGTGTTAGGATTATAGTTAGGTAGTATTAGTCTAGGGTTGGAGTAGACGTAGGTTTAGTGTAAGCTTAGTGTAGGGTAAAAGTTAATGCTGGGTTAGTGTTAATGCTAGGTTAGGGATAGTGTAAGGTTAGGCTTAGAGTAGGTGTAGGGTTAGAGGTAGTATAATCTTAGGGCTAGGGTTGGGTTAGGCAGATAGTTAGGGGTAGGGTTTGTATAAATGACATTATTTGAGTTATTGTGCAGGATTGATTATTAAACTATCTGAGTTATTTTTCTTTAGTTTTACTTAATCTAAAAATGATTACAGGTCGTCCTCGTTTTGCAACCTACCTGTTTTATGACGGCATACACTTAAGACCAGCTCTCTCGCGGGATGGTAAGTGCAAACCGTCGTAGGAATTAGAGGGATTTCCTGCTCTGCTGCGTTCGATTATGTTCGTAGAAATTTCCCCCGAGCATAGATGTACGCAACAGAGCAGGGAATCCCTCTAATCTATGTTAGGGGAAATTTCCCCTAAGCATTGATTAGAGGGATTCTTTGCTCAGGTGCATTCATTTATGTTCTGGGAAATTACCCTGAGCATAGACATGCGCCCCAGAGCAGGGAATTCCTTAAATCTATGTTCAGGGAAATTTTAGGGAATATCACCTAATGAAGCCCAGGTAAGAAGTCAAGCCATTCTAAAACAGTTTGACTACTTACAACAGGGTCCGTCACGGCACTTATGACATTTTTTTTCCTGTGTAAAGATGAAGCTTCCAGTGCAGAGATGCTGAATATTTACGCAAACTTAACATTTGTTTCTTTTTCTTCAAACTATTTTTCAACATAAAACCAATTATATTTAACTTATTACTTTATCATAGGGACCTACGGAGCTCTAGCTCCATTCCCTTGCCTAAATGAGTCATAAATTTTCCCCGAACATAGTCAAGCACATCAGAGCAGGGAATCCCTTAACTCCTCCCTTACCAACCAATTTGTTCTACGACTGGGTCGTAGGAACGGAACCCGGTCGGTAAGTAAGGAGTACCTGTATCAACAAAATTGTAAAATATATATATATAAATATATATTTATATATATATATATATATATATTTTTTTTCAAGGTTTTTCAGGATTAAAACAATGTAGATGAACCTAAAATTGAGTAAAAATGCTGTTATTGTACTGCAGTACAAAAATAAACAAAAAGAAATAACAGCTTTTTCTCCACGCCTTCCTCTTTTTTTCTGGTGATACTGACAGAACTCTGAAACACAAAACAAACCCAATTACTCATCAGATAAACCCGAATGTACAAGTCTAACAAACACGTAGCACAAATTCTAGGGTATTTTTTGTTCAGAATTTAAACCCTTAAGGGGTTAAGTGAAGTTTCACTTCAGGTGCTAATCTAATATACCCACAATTCTTACATCAAAATAATTCCACAGAAGGGAAAACTGTGCACATCATGGACAGGAGAAAATAAAATAGACATGACTGAATATTGAGATCTAGGGCAAAGAAGGAAAGACATTATATATAAATAGTGACAAGAGATACCTGAACACCAATTAAACAACGGGTTTATTATCTAAACACCACATTTTTTCCAGATTGACAAAACCCAGCAATGGCAATGGCAATTCTCACATTTACTAAAGCAAAATACAGTCAGAATTTGGCCCCTCATCGGGGGTCTTTGCGAATTATGGATAGCGCCCAAATGGTAACAGTGCCACTCTAAGAAGCTTTCCAATTGTTCAGTGCGTTTGTGCGCATGGACAGAATACACAAATGATTCAGCTACTGATAATTTCTAACTACCTGGCACCTGACGACCCAAATCAGAGCTAAACTTAGCTACCATCTTCCTTTCCTTCTGGTATCACCAAATCAGTGGACATGCCACCACGGGGGTATTTGCATAAAAGTACAAAGACCCCTCATGTGACAGTTTTTAGTTTGCACAAAAGGAGCCAAAGGCAAGTTGACTCATGCATGTTTTATTTGAGGTTAGCTACAGGTAAGGTAACTGTGATTTTCACAGTGCGCTTCTGCGATTCTCACTGTGATCGGAAGAGGAAGGAGCGTCCCCAGCGCCGAGGGAGCCCGGCACTGGAGAAAGGTAAGTGTCTAACCCCTTCCTCCCCCTTCAGCCGAGCGGGAGAGGGACCCTGAGGGTGGGGGGACCCAAAGACCCTATAGTGCCAGTAAAATGAGTTTGTTTTCCTGGCACTATAGTGGTCCTTTAATGGTTGCCTTTCTGACAGCTACTAGAGAAGTGTTTTTGTGTAAATGTACATTTTAGTTTTAGAAACATCAGTGTTTTACATTGAACAAGAAAAGTGCTATCTATACACCAAAAACACTACAATCGTCTATACACTAAAGCCACTGCATCAAGATGTAGTGGTTTGGGGGCTTAGAGTGTCTGTTTAAATGTCTCAGTAAAATGAATGGCCAGTCATTTTGAGAAACAATACTTAAACCTTCCCCAAAATATTTTAGGTACATCTTGTATGTCCATTCTATTAAGCCCTAGATGTCTAAATGTTAATAACCTATACACACATTCCAGACTTACCGTTATAATGTTACTGTAGTAATTCCCCTTGGACTGAGCAATTTGAGTAACTTCTACAACTAAAACTTTGTAAATAAAACTCTATTATTTTTTTTTAAACATTCATTATATCTGCAAACCGGGAGACAATCATTTATCAAGTTCCATTAAGCTAAATATTGTAAAGATTCTTAGTGAGAGTTAACCTTGCTTTCAATTAAATTCTGCTCTTTTTAATCACAATGGACTCTGTTTTTAGAATTATTCAAAAGGTCTCTGTCATTCTATGCCTTGGGCTAAAATCTGTTGAAAATATTGTTCTTTATGATAACCCCAAGAGATATCTTTCCACTTCTTCCTTCTGTAACTCTCCTTTTGCATGGCAAGCTGATGTTTCTACTGTTTCAAAATTGATGATGTGAGATGCAATACAAAATGAAAATCATGCAAGCACACATTACCTTGAGATTTTAAAGCTATGAAACAATTTAACTTTGATCCTCTTTAGCATAACAGTTTCAAAGTTGAAAGGCAGTTAGGAGCAAAAGTTTTAAAATTATTTATTACATTGCAGCATATGTGCTAAAAAAAAAATACAGTGTAAGAGTGTTTTGTATGAAGACACTGTCCCTAAAATGTTTAAATTATAGAGGTATCTGATTGTCCCATAAAAGTGAGGATATTCCCTTGATTCTCTCATAAGCACTAAATTTGTTCCAGATCAGTAATATTTGGTAAAAAAAAAAATAGACAATCTGAAACTGAATTTGCAGCTATTTTCTAAAGCTAAATATTTTTGGAATTTAAATTATGCATTCAAAGGAGCACATCTTATTCTATGCTGTCTGATGCCAGATTTAATATCAGTAAACTAATTTAATATCTCAGATAAAAAAAAAATGTTTGGACCGAACTGCAATTCGGATGACTTTGGATCAATCAGATGTTTTACAGAATTCCGAAATTCCAAGCGAGCTTAAATATACCTCAATTACATACTAAATGAAACACAAAATGCCAAACATATACAAGGGTAGGAAGAGGTCAAAATTCTCAATTTTGCTTGTGTCCCCCCAAAAATGAAATGATTGATAGGAAAAAAAATACGATTGATGGCTATGTAACAGCAATGAAATTATATTTCCATTTCACAGATAAAATGAGAAGGGTGCAATAGAGGAAAAAACAGTAGGAGCAGTAAAAATTGAATAAAAAATCTATATGTATTATATGTACATTTTTAATATATTATATATGTGTTGATTTTTTATATTTTTTTACTGCTCTCTATTGGTTAAAACATTTTCACTTGATTTGTGAACCAAATGGAGGGAATGCACCTATCCTCTATCATATTACAAAATATATACATAATATTGCAGTACACTGATTGGCCTATTTTTGCACCTTTTTAGCTGGTTCCTCTGATTCAGTTCCCGAATTGACATTGGACCAACCCGAACCAACATCTAACCAAATGTCAAGTGTCCTGAAATACGAGAAATATTCTATCTTCGGAAGAAAAAGAATTGTCAGAACGAAATTTCTCGCTGTTTACAAGTTTAGTTCTCAGATGAGATTCTTATAAAATATCAGTAATATTTGCCCACAGGTAGCAAAATCCATAACATATAATGTAAAAATACATCATATAATAATATTTACACACTAATCACATAATGTGCATACAATTACCTAAATTTTATTTTTTTAATTATTATGGTATAATATCGAATTATCACTAGTTGTTATATAACTAGTGCTAAGGACGTATTTTGCA